CTCTCATCGCCCTCCAGCGGCCGAGTTCTTGAGCGCGAAGACATTGAACGTCCAAGCGAAGGCGTAGTGGCGGACCTGGAGTTGATGGTAGGGCGGCCATGTCGCGGCTCCACTGCAGGCGTCTTGGCCAGAAACATGTCCTTGTCGTGCGCCGCCGTTTCCAGGCCGGTGAAGTCTTTCCTCGGACGATGCCCCTCGTTGGCCTCATCCAGCTCTACCGGGCGCTCCAGTACAGTGCCCAGGGGGTTGGCACTGCCGTGTCCATGGCCCGTGTCCGCATGTACGCCGGCCTCAACGTCTTCCTCGCGTATGGGCGTTGCGGCCCGAACGGGTATGCTTGCAGCTTCACTGGCGAGTTCTTGCATCTGCCGCGGGCTCAACTTGAGCATCTTGTCATGTTCCGACACACTGCTCTTGCGTCTGCCATCTCCCGGTCGCTTGATCGGGCGGTGCTTCTCGCTGGTGTCCGACAGGAGAGCGTCTGAGAGTACAGCATCTTCCCCATTTGCATTCACTTCCCCATTATGTGTGTTGGTGACGGGGTGCAGTGCTCCATCGTGCCGCCGCTGCTGCTGCACTTCGCGATTGCGGCCATCCGTGGGGAGTGTCCGGTCCTCTGGATCGGGCGATAGCGATGGCGTGGGAAGTGATTGTTGGTGATGCTGTTGTCGTGCGTGCGTTTCACCGTTGATCCGTGTGTCTACCCCATTCATGGCCATCACAGCTCGGCAAGGCGAGAAAGATCATTGTGCGAGGTGGAGTGCATGGTCCCCGAGAAGTGTAGCAACGTGTGAAACTTGGTAGGGCTTAGCGTACCCGTGCGCCGTACCGTCGCACCACCCAAGTCACCTGACCTTGCTCAGCAACCATTGAATCTGTCGTCACCTCAACTGCCTTTGACTGGTATGCATCATTCATCTGAGCATACACCGCATATATTTGTGATGACTTTCAAAGGACTGCATCGTCGATATGGCGAATGCTGTTCTCTAGTCTTCCACATGGTAGATCCACCTGCCACGCCAGAAGCTTTGGTCCTCACGACTTCCATCCTTTTGACTGCTCCACTTCACTCATAGCTCACGTCGAGACTATCGAATTTGACTATGCACAGCGGTGTCCACTTGACTGCGTCGTCGGAAGAGGTCGGTGAGCATGGCATCTGGAATGTAATATATCTAGACTCGGGTAGATGCGGTAGCTCTAGGCTTACCTATATCGTTTGTGCGAGCAAACGAGTAGATGGGAGTGTGCAGTGTGCATCTCAGGAGTCATCCATAGCAGGTGCAGGAGAACCCTGCCATGCTTCTACTTGGAGGCTCCTCCCAACCATCAGGGAACTCGGAATCAGTGCTCAACAGACGAGAACATGAGCCCTATATTTCCTACCTCTTCCCTCATCACCAGCCGTCTTCTACCCATACTTGTGTGTCATCAGCCAACCGGCCGCTGCAATACCTACAGACAGAAGAGCCGTGGCTTAGGTACAACAGAACGTTGGCGATGTAGTCTCCACAACCGCACAGCAAATAGCGTGAAACATCCCGCGGCATCCATGCACCCAGTCACTGTGATACAACAGCCTCGTGTTGGCCGGGGCACCTGTAGCTTAGCTTACCTGCATAGAGTAAGCGATATGTAGAGGACAGCTACCGAAGCGATGCTGCTTGCTTTCCCGGTTTTCGTGGGCTTGGGGTAGTGGGCTTGGGCCTTGGGCTTTGAGTTCCAAGGTTTGGTCAACGCTGACCGGGGGTTGTGGGTGGGTATGAGGAATACGAACAAATGGACAAGTGCCCAACCTGTGTCTTCCCGTCTCACGAAACTCGGGCATCTCAAACATGGATACCGTTCCATGGTCTCATGCCGGATTCAAGGCTCAAGAGGTCTGAGGTAAGCCAAAATGCACAATACTCATCGACCCAAGGTGCTCCTGTGAAGCCTGAAAGGTCTAAAAATAGCTCTGCGTATTGCCAGCAGACTACAGGAAGCCAGATTTAGACAATGGCAAGAAATGTCTCAAATTGGGATGATACCCTGGCAGTGAGTGCATGATAAAGAATTGGCCAAGCGAAAAGTGACGATAAAAAGCGCGGGACAGTAGCGCAGCCACAGAGCGGTGTAGTAGTGATCAAGTTGGAGTACAATAGCCCCAACTCTACAATCAACCTGGGAAACGAGGCTAGATGTTGTTTGGAGCGTAGTTCCGATGACCTGGTCGACAAGATGTACACCTGCTGTGCCCCAGCCTGCTGGAAAGATTGGCAACCTTTGGAATGGACGGCCAGCAGACAGGACACCCGACTGCGAGGTTTGGCAGCTGTGCGTAAGCTTGCCTAGCCAGGTTTGAAAGAGGTGCAGCTCCCATGGGAAAGGGCATCACGTTGGAAAGGGTGACGCTTACTGAAGGGCACAATGGACCTATGATTGAATGCTGCTGCTCGCCTTGAAAAGAAAAAAGAAATAAAAAGAAAAAGAAATGAAAAGAAAAAGAAAAAGAAAAAGAAAAAGAAAAAGAAAAAGAAAAAGAAACCCAGTAAACATAGAAAACAGATTGCTAGCAGGAAAGAGGAAAAGATGATTGTGCAAGTAAGAAACGGCGATGGAGAAGCGCTCGACCAACTCCATCGCTGGGCAAAAGGAAATCAAGCACTCACTAGCACGACGACCTCGATCGGGCACAGCGTTGTCTGGCGGCCTCTAGCATGCATGCAGGTCGGGAAGATGGGGGAAGGCGAATCATTCTAGAATCTTCTCTCAAACATTCCATGCAGTAGTTGAACTCTAACACGAGTACCCGAGGTGCGATGTGTTTTCTACTCTACTAGGAAGGTTGGTGGAAGAAGAGGCCCAAGCTGATGAGCCTGTGCATTGGGTGCTCACATTGTTGTAGTCAAGCTGGCATGTAGAGTAGAGTGCAGCACCTAGACAATATAGGCATGCTCACTTGTGGGTGGGGGGATGTGTCTACACATTCGTGGCTGTCTTGTTTCAGCGTGTTTGACGTTGCAGCCCAGTGGCGAGGGGGGCGTTTGCATGTGCGTGCTTGTCCTGTCAAGGTGGAGAGGTGGGGAGTGGCAAAACCTAGAAGCCACTTGACGTCCTCATGAGCAGTGAAAAGGTGCGCACGAAGAGCACCCTACACTCTTTATATTCGTAGAGAAGAAGTCTATGGTTCGTAGCGGCCGCCTTTCAAGCTTTGGAAGGAAACTTCTTCGCTTGGCGTTGGCTGTGAGAGAGAGAGAGAGAGAGAGAGAGAGAGAGAGAGAGAGAGAGAGAGAGAGACAGAGACAGAGACAGAGACAGAGACAGAGACAGAGACAGAGACAGAGACAGAGACAGAGACAGAGACAGAGACAGAGACAGAGACAGAGACAGAGGGAACAAAGTGGGGACCGAGGAGCGAACAGGAAAAGAAAAAGGAAGCAAAGAAGGCGAATCAGACGGCTAGGCTCACGTGGGAGGGCACATGGCCGGGAATTTAAAGGAGGGAGGGCTCGGTGGGCGACCAGGGGGTTGTTAGTGCATGTCAGGCTGGGATTCTGGGGAGATGAGGATGAAGAGGCTAAAGTGTCGGCTCGCGAACGATGCGGCAGACCATTCGACCACGGCGACAGTGTTTCAGACTGGCAGGGGTGGTGCAGATCGGACGGGAGCGAGACGACGTCTGGTGAGCAGTTCCGTCGATGCAGTAGGTATAGTATGGTAGAGTAGGTACAGTACATGCGGTAGGTACCATGCATGTTGTAGACGCATATCCACGTATGAGGGTGCACATCATGCTGCATGTACTCTACCGTAGAACTGTGGGTAAACGAGTGATGATGCTGGGTGCAGACAGTACTCTAGATGGCTAGGTAGGTACAGTTGTGAGCCGAGTAGGTAGGATGGAGTACTCTGCAGTCCAGTATGTGCAAGGTCGTCTACCGCTCATCGTTTGTCTCATTCTTCCTACTACGGCCAGGGCTGTAGCTAGACACGTGGTAGGTAGAGTGGACGAGACAGCACTGTGTCTGTGCCTGTGTGGTGGACAATCGGTAGTTTCTCTCGATGCACACCACACACTACCCTGCATGGCACAATGTACTCCATGTACTTGTACTGTGTACTGTTAGGTAGGCATGGTGGGTACCTGCGATCATACAACAGGATGGGGTGGGCAGGTTGAGGTCAAGACAGAAACTTAGTCATGGTGGCAGGCCGCCATTGTCGTGCTTTGAGGCGGCCCCAAGGCGGTGGCCGGGGAATCAGTCAATCACATAGATGCGACGATGAACATGCAGGGGCCCCTGACTCTCTACCCACCACACAACCCTCGACAGCCTGACGATGGGCTTTACCTACAGCAAGAGGCAGATGACGGGCGCAGGAGCGGTCACGGTCTACGCTGTGTACTTTGCTTATTTGCTTATCACCATTCTATATACATCCTGTTCGCACATATACTGATACTTAGGGCCGGGGGGGGGAGAGAGTGCTGGCCATGAATGGGCTTGTGGGGTACACGTGCAGATTGTCGGCGGCGCCCTTTCGCGGCGGCCACGCTGAGCCAAGCCCGAGCTGGTAAAGTCGGGCTACTGGAATCCCCAGCACCATTGATGCAGGACGGATGCAAGCAAGCCTGGTCTTGGGGGGATGGGGGGGGGGAGACCTGCGCGCCGTCCCTGCGGCTTCAACCCTCCTTTGCCTCTCTCTCTCTTCTCTCTCTTCTCTCTCTTCTCTCTCTTCTCTCTCTTCTCTCTCTTCTCTCTCTCCCTCCTTTCGGCCTAACCAGGTTGACTAAGTACTAGTAGTCCGCTGGCTGCTCTTTGAACTTTGGGCCTCGTGTATACCACCTACCTACTTGTCACCTGTGTCTGTGTCTGTGTCTGTGTGTGTGTGTGTGTGTGTGTGTGTGTGTGTGCGTGCGTGTACTTAGCCTCCGCACTCACTCCAATACGTCGCCCTCTCAGCCCTGCGAGCCCTGCATTCGGTCTACTGCTACTGTTACCACTACTATTGTTATTACGACCACGACCAGTACTACCACTACCACTACCACCACCGCTACTATTACTACGACCCCTACGACCACTACCGCTGCCCGTCTGCCATTGTCACCATTCATACCTACCATCATTAATCAAAGAGAGCGCCCGCCTCTGCTACCTACCTACCTACCTACCTACCTACCTACCTACCCGCCTACCTACCCACCGACGTACTGTCCGCCTACACCTCGCCGTTTGGTTGCGCTGCAATCCCATTCATCGTCCACATCACCTTTGTTCTTCCCCCTCCCCTTCCACTCCACCACCCTCGCCTGTCCCCCGTCCTCCTCCGTCGCCCTCTACTCTCCCTCGAGCCCTCGCTTCCTCCGGCTGCACGCACTCGCCCGCTGATGCATTCGTGACCGCGACCGTCCTGATACTTCCCCCCTCCTCCCAGGCTCGAAGCCAGCACCACCCTTGCCCGCCATGGGTCAGAGTAACGGGAAGCCCGTTGTCTTCACCGACCAAGGTACGATGGACCCTAGATCCTATCAGCCGCCCGCATCGCCAGAACCCCCAGCTGACCCCAACTTGCAGTCAACCTCAACCACTTTCGGCTGCTACGTGTCGTCGGAAAGGGCGCCTTTGGCAAGGTGCGCATTGTCGAGCGCAAAGATACGGGCCTCACATTTGCGCTCAAGTACATCCGCAAAGATGAAGGTGCGTCCTCGGCCTGAGATACCCACATCTGTCGTCCGCAGCCCTGGGCCGCCGTGTGGGCGCGCTGCTGCCGATGCTGGCGCGGTTGCGGTTGCGGTTGCTATGGCTGGTCCTGGTCCTGGTCCTGGTCCTGGTCCTGGTCCTGGTGCTGACGTTGTGTCACAGTCGTACGGTCGGAAAGCGTTCGCAACATCATTCGAGAGCGCCGCATGCTCGAGCACCTCAATCATCCCTTCCTGTGCAATCTGCGATACAGTTTCCAGGACATTGAGTACCTGTGCGTCCCCATCACCCTTCCCTTCCTCCCTCCTCTATATATTTTGTGCCTACCGTCACTAATCCGCCTCAGATATATTGTCGTCGATCTCATGAATGGTGGCGATCTGCGCTTCCACATCTCGCGAAAGACCTTCACCGAGGAGGCTGTGCGCTTCTGGATAGCGCAGTTGGGCTGCGCAGTCCGATATATCCACCAGCAAGGCATTGTGCACCGCGACATCAAGCCCGACAACGTCCTGCTGGATTCCGAGGGCCATGTTCATTTGGCCGATTTTGTACGTCGACGCCCATGCTCCTTTGCCGCTGTTCCACGCTCGCTAACACAACCAGAACGTCGCCTCGGATTTTACGCCACACAAGCCCTTGACCAGCAAGTCAGGTACTCTTGCCTATCTCGCTCCCGAGGTGTACGAGGGCAAGGGCTACTCGTGCGAGGTGGACTGGTGGTCACTTGGTGTTCTCTTCTACGAATGCATCTACAACAAGGTGCGCCCCCCCGGGATCTCTGAA